CCGGGACTGGGACTTAGTGAAAGAGGTTCGGGGCCAACAGCAGAATGGCCATAGGGGGGGGGGGGTCAAACGGAGATCAGGGCACTTTTTACAGTGGACTCAAGTGTAACACGCGCGCGTTTCAGGGGCTGAGCAGTAACCAACGGCACCTGCAGGTTTTCGGCTTTGGGACCAACAGCCCATGACGCCGAGCTCATGGAGTTAGCGCTCTCGCCGCTCTAAGATGTTGTCGCTCAGGCTGGTCGTGCACAGCCACGCCCCATTCGGAATGCATTTATGCACATGCATGCTTTGCACCAGCATATGCCGCTTTGCTCTTCATTGTTGCCGCCCAGGCCGTGTTCAAAGGTCAGTTGTGGACGAACTGAGCTGAAAGTGTCGAGGCAGAATATAGAGTGAAGCCTTCACGAGTATATCGAGACAATTGCCAATGTCCTCGGTCCAATCTTACAGATTGTTGAGATGCAAGTCGGTGATGGGCATAGAATTCAAGCAAGCAGCACTTTCAGAACAAGCTGCCCATGCATGTTGGCTGTTGGCTGTTGGCTGTTTCGACATCGGCCGACTCGCCGTTGGCCCCCAACTCATCATGCCAGTATTGATGCACTCGCCAACATCGCCCGTCACCTTTGCTCCAAAACCCTCTTCATTCTCGATTGCCCTCTGAACCCGAAATCCCTCTCCCCTCTTTGCTCGACCACAAGCGAAATCGGCACAAACGACCCAAATGGCGGGCTCTGAAGCACAGCGTGCGATGTTTCGCCTTCCAATCGAGCTGTGGTGGGACATCTTTGACTACCTCAACACCCCGCCTCTGCATCTTTCCTATCGCGGACAGCATGTTGTGCTTTCTGACTGCTTGACACCCAATCCCTCTTGCGACGATGATGGAGCCGAGCGGTACCCTGAAGTGGAAGCCACACCGCACAACTCAACGATGAACGAAAGTCGATGGGGCGATGCCTGGTATGACGGTATGACCTGTTCAAAAGGTAACAGAGACACAGATGTCATCATGGCGAATCGCCTGCGGTCAACTTGGGGTCCTCATTGGAGATGCGAGGCCGCTCCCTCAGATGGCGACCTTGGAGTGAGGAAGCTTCTCTTGGTCTGCAAGCACATGTGAGCAGCGAAGCAATCGTACTCGAACCAACAACCCTAATAGCATGTCACACAGGGACAGTGGAGGCATCGAGTACATGATTCATCGCCTCATCTTTCACATCACCGACTTGAATACCCTCGACGCCCTTTGCCAGACCCAGCATACCGCAGAAGGTCTACCCAAGACTACTTCACTGATCTCCATCGGCCACGGAATGCAAGCGCTTCACGTCACCTTGAGGCTCCCTTTCGAAGTATTTGAGGCGGTTGATGGACTGCGATCAGAGTCAAAGAAAATGCAGGAGCTGGCTCTTCAATGGACGCAAGCGTGGCCGGCCGTTGCTGCGCTTAAAGGCCTCCGAAAGATCCGAGTGGAACTAGACCACACCAACTGGTCTTCCTGGTCTGTCATAAACGAGCGTGCGGTACTGTCTTCGCTCGGCACACTCAAGACTCTTGTGCCCGGTCTCGTACTCACTGTTGTACTTCCCAATCTTCATCCGTTCTATGAAAAATCAGACCGTCATTTCACCCATGACAGCCCTGAACCATCTTTTCCGATAATCCGCCGAGTACGCCAAAAGTATCATTGTCGGCAGGGCCCCGACGGTCGACGGAGTATAGTACGATCAAGATATGATACCTTCCCAGTTTGGGTTCCTGCGGAGCTCGAGTTGTTGGAGATTGAGGAGCATCCAGTCCTCCAACCGTCTCCAGAACAGTATCGAGAGATGGTCGAGGAAGAACGACAAGGGTGGAGAAACGGCATAGACTATCATGACTTCATAGCAGAATTGCTGGGTTCGTCACCGATATGTTACGGCTGAGTACTGATGCCAGGTGGCCCCTGCGGAGCCACGGGACAGGGCTAATTAGGGCCTTAGGACTACGCGAACCTGTATATGAGGACCGCGGAGGGCCAGAATTTCTGATGTATTACACCCCCAGACCTATTATCTACCGCCTGCGGACCACGGGCGGAATACCTCTTTACTCTGCCCAAATCACGCTCCGACAACTGATTCGAGGTCAATGGCACGTATCCTCGTCACACCAACTGAGT